ATGAAGATCTAGCAATGCGTATTTGTCTAGGTTATAGACCCAAAATTAGATGCGAAGTTCCTCAACTACTTTTAGATTTGATGAATAAATGCATAGACGCAGAACCTCAAAACCGACCAACTGCTAAGGAATTATCTACTACGCTGTATAGTTTTTTTGAAGATTTGAAAAACAAAAAAACTGAATTATATAAACAAGTTAAAAATATTAAAAATCTAGACAAAAACTTATTAACATATGGTCAAGTTAAATATCAGACACATCCACAAGCTATTTATACGAGTCGATCTTTGAATCTTTCAAAACTCTCTAAACCAGGTAATAACGTTTATTTGTTTTTTTTTTAAAAAAAAAATCAGTAATATGTTATTAATTGTAAAAATTTCTGAATCTGCCAATATAGTAAATGCAGGTAACACTATTTATTTTTTAAATTGGATTTAAATTATAGTTTTAGTATATTTATATGTATTTTACAGTAGTAAGTCGACTTATTGATTATGAAATCCCCAATGGTAAGTAATATATCCGATTTATTATCATTAGACAAATTTATTACTCATTTGTATATTGGTATTTTAGATCAATAGATCAAGTAAATGAAAGTTGTTATGCCATACTACAATAATTTGGTATACTTTATATACGCTCTAAAGTCAAAGTTAGTTGGCTTTATCTATAGTTAATGTTAGATAGGTATAGATTGTTGGTAAAATAGTTGTTAGCGAGTTCCTATTTACTATATAAATTTATTTAACTACATATTAAAACAATAAATATTATCTTTCTAAAACATTGTTATTATTGTTGTTGATGGCCTTATTGGTGCTGAATTGAACCTTCTAAAAAAAATATTTGATACCGATCTATAATAACAATCAGCATAGCGGGCATTAATTTGATTTGATGATCGAACGAAATGCTACACAATATGTAATTTATATTAGCGTAACGTTTCGCAGGTACAAAATTGGAACCGCAGCCACGGGCTCAAAACCGCCAAGGTTGTAACAAAAAAAATTAGAAAGAGCAACCTCTATTCTATATAGCGTCAAAGTAATTTAGTGATCCACGAAGTAATTAGGAACTTAGCTAAGAAGCGTTTTACAGCATTTCTTATATTTGACATGTCTATGCAAGAAAGCTCTCACATTGCAGGCTCTAGCAAGAAAGAAGGGAAAAGAAAGCTTCGAAGTTGTGATCTAGAAGGTCAACATGATGTTACTTGTGATTATGAACAACATGACACCTCAAATGTAACTGAACAAATAATTATTCCAATCTCAAGTCAACATTTGGATTTAGTTGGCAAAGACTTATGTCAAAAAATGTAAAACTATTCTCTGTACTCATCCCAAATATAGTATTTATTTAGTTATAGCCTAGAATAGTAAAGAAACAAAGAAGTTCAAAAAGGTATAAGAATGGTTAATTAAATTTTTTTTATTAGAAAAAGAGGTTATAATATGTCAATATTGTTTATATCAAATAGAGAAAGATCTAAAATATATTAATTTGCTTAATTATCTACTAGCAAGTGAGAGAATTTCAAAAAATAATATAAAAAAGTTTCAAGATAGGTTATATGTATTGCAGTGTAATATTATTTACTCAGAATCTGAATTTTAGGTACTAAAAGTTGCATATTATAATGCATGTATAGAGCTTGATGGATTAAAACTAGAAAAGCAAATATTGAATTTATTATTTTTGGATTTTTTTTATATATCTTATTTTTTTAAAATTAAATTTTCTTAACAGAAAGATTAAATTAATGGTAGAAATATTATATACAAGATAATGTATATATAATAAAAAATCTATTTTTAATTCAGCTGAACTATTGGAAGATATATTATATAAAAAACTTGATTTGAATTTCTTTCAAAATATGGAATAAATTGGTTAAGATACTCAAATATAAATCATATATCAAAGATCTTGAAAACCTATAATATACCTATTTTAAAAAAAATGGTTGGATGTTTATTTCATTTAAAATTGATATTTTCACATTATAAATAGATTATAATTTATTTGCTAAAGATTTATATGATGTTTGTAAAAGAAAGTATTCATTGTTAATTATTGGTAAAAGATGCAAAACTGAATATATATTTGAAACATATAATAATAGTTTTTGCATTAATAGTACAATGTGAATAGAAATAGTTTTTTATTAACAATGAGTATATATGAAACAGGAACATAGCATATTTCTAAATCTGTAAATATTAATACACATTATGATAGTACTAATCTTACTTCAAAATTAGTTTTTGGAATAAGAATTTGATCTTGATGGTTATATTTAGAAATATAATATTAGATTATATGATAATATTTATACTACAAATAAATGAAATATAGATATAGTTAAAGTATATAGTATTCAAAAGTAAGATTAATTTTTATTTTATGACCTTATTGTATTTTCTATCTTACCAATAAAACTTTATTTTTATTTAAAAAATAAATTTAATACATGTCTTGTGAATAATCAAAGTATGAAACATTATAAAATTAATTTTATAAAATTTGTAGTTCTGATTATTGTAAAGTTTCTTCAAACATTACAAAATCTATATTTTGAATATTTATTATCTTATTTTGTAAATATTCTTTTTTAATATTTAAAGAAATCTGTTTATATTTTTCTTTTACTTCTTTATCTAGCTGTTTTTATAAGATACTAGAAATTATAGATAGTATATGCATATTTAGTTCCTTTCTTTTATTTTATTTATTTTTTATTTTTTATATTAAAGTCTCTATCTTTGGGATGTGTCATTTTTATTCAAGTAAATAAAACATGGCATACCACCAGAAGCTACTTTATATTGGAGGTTACAACTAGTTACATATACACTTTTGATACCTAATTTAAATAATCCACTTATATATTGCTATATAAGTTCTACACTAGATGCCATACTTGCAAAATGACTAGAAGTTTTGTCTATTTAAACCCTTTGTATATGCTATCATCCTTATATTATGAGAAAATCTTTAAGGTTACACCCATCCAAGTTCATGATGCTAGTTGATACTCTTAGAACTACTTTATCTTTGACAGAAAACTTACTAGAGTCTTTATATTCTACACATACTGACTTAGTTTTATGTAATATATTATAGTTATTTAATATTTATAGTTATAGAAGTTAACTGTTTAACTATTATATTATACTATTTTTACCTTTATAAAGTTTACTAGAACCCTAGTACCTATCTTCTTGGCATCTTTTCTATTATCCCCTACTAGCTGCAACTCAAAACTGATAATCTCTTCCAGACTACCAATCTAAATAGCCAAATATGGTATACTTCTGTATTCTTTTCCTCTAATGAGTCTGGCAGCCTGATTATTTATATGCTCCTTTATACATATTTGATATCCAGTTTAATCTTCAGTTCCTACGAAGGTGTTTTATAGGCTTCAACTGGTCTGATGGTATAGTTGAAAGTTCATATTACTTCTTTACTCAGAAATTTCCAAGTGGGTTTTTATCATCTTGGTTTCTTAGTTTTCTATATTTAGTAGTTTTATTATAAATTTGCATTAAAGTCTTATATAATACCAGTTATACATTTCTCTATATACATGTAATATTACACTTTGCATAGATGCCTTGAGCTCCTAATATTGATAGAACCTAACTTAGTATATCTGGGTTACAGCCACATAGGTCAACTAATTAACAGAAGACAGTTACTGTAATGCAGATATAATTTCCAAATTTCATCATAGGTAGAATTTGAATCTTAGATCTGCTATTTGAAGAATGACAAACCAACTATTATATTAGGATTGTTATCCTTATTTTTTCTCTTTATATTTCAAAAATTAATTAACATTCATATAAAAAAATATAAAAGAATTTGGTAATTTCTTCTTCTTAAAATTATAAGATTAATAGATAAGATTTGATAATAATTTTATTGTAATTATTAGTAGCAATATTTACAAATGACATTGTTATTACAATAAATTTAGACAAAAAAAAATAAATGCAGCATTTAAATAGACATTTTACAAGACTGATATATAATATAAATAACTAATAAAATATAACTTTATTTTTTTTTTTGATATTAAGATGACCTTTTTAGTTTTTTGATTTTTATTAATTGCTTATTGGTATTGTAATTTAATAAACCACTACAGAAGAGCATACAATTGGCAACATATATAACTTTTCTATATTCCCTATTTAAGAAGTCTGTCTAAAGGTTTTCTACCAATTGCCATACCTAACACTCTTACTTGAGTGTTCTACTTTAAACTCTAAAACCTGTAATCTGTATTAACTCACTGATTAATATTCAGATGCACAGATCATCATCTCAACCTTAGAACTAATTTATCCTTAAGATAAAACCCCCAGAGCCTTCTGTATCCATTTTTATAACTGACCTAAGTATGCTATGGCAGAACCAACACTTATAGTCAGGACTTAATCATTAAATTACTATGTTCTTATAGAGTTTACTTAGATCTTAGTATTAATTTTACAGAATAACCTCAGTGCTTTAGTATACTTCTAAATTTTGTTAGACTTCCAATCCAAATGGCCTGTATAGAACTAAAACCAGTTTATTAGTATATTAGGTCAATCTAATATTCTTTTTTTCTGGTTCATTTTAGCAACCTGATTAGTAGTATCTCTAAAACTTCTAATTCAAAGTTTTTGCCTAGCTAGATACTAAGATTAGATATTCATTTCTCCAGACTAGTCTTTATAGTAATGTTATTAAAGATCTGCCTATCTTTTTACTTAGGTCTTTCTAAATAGACTTCTTGTTACCTAATTTCAACATATCTATATAGCTACAAGGACTTATCTAGTGTTTGCATTATCCAGTTGTCAGTTTGCATTTCTCTGTGTAACTTCAACATTGCACAAATGCCCTATAACTTGCTAGTCATACTGGTGTAACTGTCATTACTGATATCCTAACTCAATCATTAGTAATAGTTGCTATAATACAAATATTACCCTAGGTAATTATCCAAATTTCACAATTGATAAGATTTAAACACTCAAACTACCACTTGGTGGGTTAACAATCTAACTACTTCACTAGGTTATCACACCCCTTTATAACTTTATTTAAAATATATTAAGAATATATAAATATAGTCTAAAAACTATTTTTTGCTTTTTTAGATATTTGTTTATTATTCAGTACATCTTTTTTACTAAATTTATGCTTTTAATAATTAGTTTTAAAAAAAAAAGATCAGTTCCAATTGTTGATTTAATATCAAATTTTGGTGTCTCTTTGAATTTTTTTAACTATACAGAATCTGAAACAGAATACTTTTTAAAAATTTCTAATGCATTATTATTAATACAATTTTCTTTGTTATAAAAATCTACATTACCTTTTACAAAACTATCTAGAAGTTTAAGCTGTTCATTAATTTTTTTAATAGTATTGGTATATTTTAACTCTTTATTATTCTTGCTGCTATAATCAAAGAATTCTATAAATTTTATTTTTATATAAAATAAACTGCTAATATTTTATATTTGATATAAACCCAATAGTATTTTTTTCTTTATATCTTTAAAACACTGCTTCAGTTGCAATTAATTTCAAAATATTATAAAATATACTCAA